AAATATAACTCTGATACCGCTTGTTAGTTTTGTACATCGGCTAATTAAAATAAATAATACTTGTTGAAAGATAGGAATTCAAAGATAAAAAAATAATAAAATACGGCACAAAAATATAACGTAGTTCAACACAACATACTTAACTTTGCTATACCGCACCTATATCCACTAATCAAGAACCTATATCGATGTATTATTCACTGAAAACCTGGTTATCTGGTAATAATTACATAATACTCAACCCTATTTATAGGGATAAAATATTATAACTCAAGCATATTCAAATACAACTTGATCTTTATATTTTCTATCACATGTTTAATATACTTATTCATAGTGTATTAAAACTCTTTTAATATAATCCTATTCCATTTAAGATTTTTACATTGACTACCCAACAAAACTATGTTTCATAACAATTAAAGAGTTTGGATCAAATTCCAACACTCTATACCCTCGTAGGAGAAAGATGATTCTGATATTCCCAAAGGAATCAAGGCACAAACTGTTCACTTATGGATTGGAAATGCATGGAAATTTAACAGTGGTTCTTTGCTAATGGATTGTGGAAATGTTTTTTGAAGTGTATTGACCGTCCATCTTGATGTTTTTTGAGTGAGTCAATGAATTAGATGTCTGGATTTGTGAAGAAATTGGGTCAGGAGATTAAGTCAGACAATTCACTCTCTCACGGCTATTTAGAGTTAAAATAGCATACTGGACAATCATAATTATTGAATAAGTAGTGAGTCACAATAAATATTGAGATCCACAATAAAATCAATGATTATGATTATCNATTGGACAATCATAATTATTAAATAGGTAGTGAGTCACAATAAATATTGAGATCCACAATAAAATCAATGATTATGATTATCAAGTACATATTTTAAGTTTATTTTTTAAATCCGCATAGCATTTCTCAATCAAATAATATACTTAACAAAATATTTATTTCAAGTACTTGAGAACAACTAAACAAATTCTCTTTTCTCCATCGTATTCTATCAATGATTATATTTTTCATTAAAGCGTAAGCTATCAAATTCCTTGTTTACTATTTCAATTTACAATTTCACTCGTATTATGAGCAATATGTATAAAATCGAATTCCTTTATTGGTACAGTACCAAATTTTTTTTTATCAAATATGTTCAAACTATTTAAGTTGTGTTTGAGTGTGTATGATTTCTTTTCAATGGGTTATAGATATGTATAACTTCGATAGGAAATACAAGTTTAGAAACGGTTTGTAAAAATGATTGTGGTGTGGCTACCTGTTGAGAATAGTGTGTAGATCATATTCACTAGGCCAAAAAACAATAGATCTAGAAATGGTGTCTGTACATATGATGTAACTACACGAGTATTATGATACATATTTAAAACAGAATTTCCGTTACCTTAGGACAGTTAAGAGTTACTGCCGTCATTTACCAGGGTTTCCATTCAAAGCTTATAACACTTCTCCTTTTGACTTTCCAGCATCGGGCAGGTGGTGCAGTGCGCGCTACCTATTTGTGATCAGTTAGTTAAAACAATTGGTCCCCATGAACGCAAATAGAATTTCTACTGAACAACACTGCACGTTGACAACATTAGCTTTGTAATTCTACAATGGGTGTCTTTGACTTCAATTCACCTGGATTAATCTTCTTCAACAAATAGCATAGTTGTGCTAACAGGGGTAACCATGTGCATGGAGACTCTTTGCCACAGTAAAATCTGAGCATAGAGTGCTAGTTAGAAATAAATTTAATAAAAGCCCAGCATGCTTAGAATCATAAAATTTTTGGTGCATAATCCCTATATTCTAAATAAATTCTGTTACTCGAAAAAAATTCATAAATGATATATTTACGATCTTAATTTTCCATGTCAACACAAACCAAGGAGCTATTATCGCTGCACGCATCATACATGCAATGTGAAGAAACAGATCCAACGGCTGTCAAGAGACACAAGCATTGTGGTGACAACATACGAGGGCATTCACAATCATCCCTGTGAGAAACTCATGGAGACCTTAAGCCCTCTGCTCAAGCAACTTCAGTTCCTCTCTAGATTCTAAAACCAGTCACTCATGTTTGAAAGCTGAAATGTTCATACTCATCAATCAAGCTCTTATCACTTACCCCCAAAATGCTGTACAGAATGCAAAGCAGTACTGAAAGCTCCAAAAGAAATGTACTGCTGTTTATTTAACCATACAGTTTTTATTACCAGTACCGGGTACCATCTAATTGTCTCTCTCATTCTCAGTAACAAAAAAAAAAAAAAANATTGCTGTTTATTTAACCATACAGTTTTTATTACCAGTACCGGGTACCATCTAATTGTCTCTCTCATTCTCCGTAACAACAAACAAAAAAAAAAAAAACAAGTGTAAGCCTTCGGATTAGCCGATACAGTAACTAATNCGCTACCTATTTGTGATCAGTTAGTTAAAACAATTGGCCCCCATGAACGCAAATAGAATTTCTACTGAACAACACTGCACGTTGACAACATTAGCTTTGTAATTCTACGATGGGTGTCTTTGACTTCAATTCACCTGGATTAATCTTCTTCAACAAATAGCATAGTTGTGCTAACAGGGGTAACCATGTGCATGGAGACTCTTTGCCATAGTAAAATCTGAGCATAGAGTGCTAGTTAGAAATAAATTTAATAAAAGCCCAGCATGCTTAGAATCATAAAATTTTTGGTGCATAATCCCTATATTCTAAATAAATTCTGTTACTCGAAAAAAATTCATAAATGATATATTTACGATCTTAATTTTCCATGTCAACACAAACCAAGGAGCTATTATCGCTGCACGCATCATACATGCAATGTGAAGAAACAGATCCAACGGCTGTCAAGAGACACAAGCATTGTGGTGACAACATACGAGGGCATTCACAATCATCCCTGTGAGAAACTCATGGAGACCTTAAGCCCTCTGCTCAAGCAACTTCAGTTCCTCTCTAGATTCTAAAACCAGTCACTCATGTTTGAAAGCTGAAATGTTCATACTNCACTACCTATTTGTGATCAGTTAGTTAAAACAATTGGTCCCCATGAACGCAAATAGAATTTCTACTGAACAACACTGCACGTTGACAACATTAGCTTTGTAATTCTACAATGGGTGTCTTTGACTTCAATTCACCTGGATTAATCTTCTTCAACAAATAGCATAGTTGTGCTAACAGGGGTAACCATGTGCATGGAGACTCTTTGCCATAGTAAAATCTGAGCATAGAGTGCTAGTTAGAAATAAATTTAATAAAAGCCCAGCATGCTTAGAATCATAAAATTTTTGGTGCATAATCCCTATATTCTAAATAAATTCTGTTACTCGAAAAAAATTCATAAATGATATATTTACGATCTTAATTTTCCATGTCAACACAAACCAAGGAGCTATTATCGCTGCACGCATCATACATGCAATGTGAAGAAACAGATCCAACGGCTGTCAAGAGACACAAGCATTGTGGTGACAACATACGAGGGCATTCACAATCATCCCTGTGAGAAACTCATGGAGACCTTAAGCCCTCTGCTCAAGCAACTTCAGTTCCTCTCTAGATTCTAAAACCAGTCACTCATGTTTGAAAGCTGAAATGTTCATACTCATCAATCAAGCTCTTATCACTTACCCCCAAAATGCTGTACAGAATGCAAAGCAGTACTGAAAGCTCCAAAAGAAATGTACTGCTGTTTATTTAACCATACAGTTTTTATTACCAGTACCGGGTACCATCTAATTGTCTCTCTCATTCTCAGTAACAA